CTAGTGGGAGGTGTCCCTGCCCCTGGCAGGGGGTGGGACTGGATGGATTTTAAAGGTCCCTTCCAACCCAAACTGTTCCATGGTACTCAGTACTCTCTAAAGTCCCAACTCTGCCACGAGAAGAGTTTTTGTTCATCACCCAAAAGGGCTCTGGAAATGTGAACCCTGCTCACCCCAGTGCTGGGACACAAACCAGGACTCTCCAGCTGGGAATGCAACCAGCATTCCGAGCAAGATCTACCAGCCCAGAGTCCCAGAGAACAGCTGACACCAGCACCAAGTGCTCCCTCCTCCTGCTCAAGGAGTTCCCCACATCCCCAGAGCACCCTGATGTGGCTCCTAAAAACCAGGACCTGGGAAATTCCCGATTCCCCACCAGACTTACCATCATGCTGTTCTGCTCCTGCCTCACCTCCTGCAGGATGCTGCTGAAGAGTTCCAGGTAATTCACATTCTCCTGTATCACATCAGCAAAATTTTCCCTGCAGGGAAAAAAAAAAAAAAGGCAAAAGATGACAAGATTTCAGCCACCAAAAGTAACATCAGAAGGTGAAAAAACCCACAAACCCAAATCCAAACAACCCCAATAAGCTGATTTATAGTCCTCTGCAGTGGTAGGAGATACCCTGGTGGGATAAGCAAGTCCAACCCCAAGGAAGAGCAACATGACATAGGAAATAAAAGAAGAACATTCAGGAAATGAATAGCACAGTGCTTTAGCTGAGAGTGGTGTGTGGAACTTGCTCAGGAAGAGAGAGTGGAGGTGGTTTCTGAGGAAAGAGTTCAACCAAATTCCTGATTTTTTTTAGAGCATTAGTGACATATGGGCTCCTGAAGCTTATTTTGGAAGGATAAAAATCCCACCTGGATACTGAACCAGATGGATTGCTTAGGACTCACCCAAACTTCAGACCTCCACTCGAACTGAGACTTCTTGAAATCACAGCAGTTTTAAGAAGGACTAAACATGGCCTGATTTATCTGGGACTTGCCAGAGGTGAGTTACTGTGACTCCAGTCAGGAGCTGGACAGTTTATCCTTCAGGGGATGTCAAAACCTGCCTTCCCAGCATATCCCAAGCCCACGGGATGCCCTGGGTGGAGGGGAGAGGCCGTGCCCTCAGGCCCCTGAGCAGCAGAGGGAGGGTTGGGGAGTGTGTGCACACACAACAGCCAGGCTGATTCCCTGCAGTTCTCCTTCCCCAGCATTCCTACCCTTCCTGGGGAGCTGCCAGCGAGGACAGAGGGTGGGGAGGGGCGTTCCCTGAGGAGCCCTGCGGGAGCCACGCGGCTGCGGGAGTCGAGGCCGGCCCTTCCAGGCTGGAGCTGACCAGGGATCGGGAGGAGCTCTGGGTCTGGAAGACACAAATCCATCGGCTGTGAGGGACAAAGGTAGGATTTAGGGTTCACTCTTTTGTAGGTTACACGGGAGCACTGTTAGTAACACAGACACAGCCCTCCCGTGTGGGAACTGGGAGATGGCTGCAGCTGGAGAGGCTCTGTAACTAATGCAAAATGAGCAGTACAGACTTAAAACACCCTAAACTAAGCAGTACAGTCTTAAAACACCCTAAACTAAGCAGGAAAGCACCTCTTTAGCTTTTGCTTTTACCATCTCACACTGCCCTTCTCTGTGGAAAAAAAATCGACCCTAGTGTGGCAGTTCTGCCTTTCTGGTCTCCTCCCAGTTTCCTTTGATGTCTCCTGGCTCTGCCCTGGAAGGAAAAGCAAACAGACAATCCAAGAGCTACTTACACAAGCAATTTTCAGCAAATGCCATATCTCCCTTTGTCTTTTTCCCTGCATCTGCATCACTGAGTTGTCAGCTTCCTTGATGTTATTTAGAGCCACTTCAATCTCAGGAAGCAAGTCAATGATCTTCTGCTTACAGCCCAAGAGCTTGCTAGAATGAAAACCAAACACAGAGTCAGTTCCCTGCTCCTGTAGCAAAATCAAAAGCCTCACCTTGGGATTCAAGATACCCAAAGACTCAATGAACAAATCCCTGTGATATCTTCTCAGCTCTTACACTATTTCTTTTTTTAAGTTAAGATTTCAATGCCAACCCAAACACTCATTTTAGTGAACTCCTGGATCCTAACAGTGCAAGCCATTCCATTCTCATCCCCTGCCCTATTATCTATAAACATCAGTTATAAGTTTTGAAAAAGTGGAAACTCAACACAGAGAAGCAGAATTAATACTAAGTTATTAAAGAAACATGGATGGAGTTTTGGGCTCTGACCTCTATGATTTTCACTCTCCTTTCCTACTACAAAGCTACAAATGCCACAGGTTGCATGTTTGGGGTTTTCTGTGTGCATAAAGTACCTGAGATGGCCAAAGAGCTCCTTGAGGACTCGGTCTTGGCTCTGGACTGTCTGCACAATGATCTTCACCATGTCTGTGCTGTCACTGTAGGCATGATCTGGAAGGGCCAGCAACCACCACATCAGTCAAATCAAACAGTATTTTTTGCCTTCGGGGTCAGAAAAATTAATCGTGGGGTACAAGTGTGAAACAGTCTTTAAACCATCTCCTTCCATACCTGGAGGTCTTGTTTTCAATTGCTTGTACAAGTCTATGGCTCTCTGTTCCCTTGAAAAAGAAGAATATGATTCAGACATGTCAAACAAGCAGGGGACTCAAGAAAAAAAGCATTGCAATGAAGTGATGCCTTTCTGAACCTCAGACCTTGGAGCTGCCACCTTCTCCTACAGGAGAAGCATGACTTTTGGGACACAGGGGTGCTCTCTGTGATGGAATCCAACACTTCCCTAAAAGCTGTCTCTCTTTTTTAATCTGAATTAGGCATTTTCTTCTCAGAAAACCACACCAGGTGGAGGTTATTTTCAGTTATAAATTTCCACATGCCCCAGCTGTGTTTTCTTTCCCTGGTATCCTTAGTTATTAAACTTCATTTTTGTAACTGTAACTGCACAACTGCCTGAGAAATTCTTGTTCCTGTTCTGCATTTCTTTGCTTGAATCTTAGTCATATTCTGCAAATGGAAAGAGACAGTTGTGTCACAGACAAGAGGACAGACACTGTTTCTCTTCTTCCCATTAAATAAACGTCACTTCTTTCAAATATTTCAAAAGCAGCCAAACACTGAAACTTCCAGCCTTGAACAAATCCTCACTGTTCTAACTCACAGCCTGTCAGAAACAAGCAGCAGTTTCCCAGCTCTGACCCTGGGCTGCAGTGGTGGAATTGCTTAAAAAGCAATGTTTTAGGAGGCAGGTTCACAATTAGTTGGAGCTGCTCTGAATGTTGGGCTGCTGCTGCAAGGGGTGGCTTCTCCCCTTTACCACTTCCTGCCCTGGGCACCAGTTCTGCTGCTGCTGCAGCTACACGTGGATGAAAAGGAACTTAGCCAAGAGGGATGGGGGAGAACATGCCAGGAGCAGGCATGTTGAACACTCAGAGTCCTTCCAGAGAGCTCTTACTAACAGCAGATTTAGTGGCTGTTCAATCCCTCTCTTTTAGAATCACCCCTTGTGTTCTCAGCAGCAACCCAGTAACTGCTTCCTGTGTCTTCCCAAGATCAGTAATACCACTTGGCTCTTTCCTATTTTAATACTTTAAACAAACAAAAAAAAATCCACTTTCCAAACAGTCAAGTACCCACAAGTGATCTACCCTTGCTTTGAAAATACACTGAAGATATTTAGCAGGGTTTTACAATGATCTCATGGTTTTCTCACTCAACACTACCCCTCTCCAAAGCAAAAGGAAATCCTGAGATGAGATCAAGATATATCTTTGCCACAGCCTCTTGTGAGATGAGGTTTCATAGGTCAGTGACAGAGAAGTGTCCCACAAGTGGTGGGACCTTCCCTTCCAGTAACAAAATGATCTTGAACCAATCACACACTACTCTGCACTGGCACTTTGCATTTCAAAAGCGCTGAGGCAACCAGCAACAGAGGAAAAAAAGCCCCTAAAAATCCAGGAAATCCATTTCTGTGCCATAAAAATAAGCAGCAGAGGACTTACAGGCTCTCCATGACCTCTCCCTGGCGCCTGGCATACGGACTCTTCTGGAGCTCCACGATTTCTGTGTGCAGAGCCATGATCTGCTCATCCAGATACCCAATATCTTCAGCCTAATGGGAAAATGGAGCTTCAGATCACACCGAAGGGGGAGAGCAGTCAAGTAGATAAAAATCCCCAAAACACCTGTTTGGACAATGGGCTGCCTCCTTGGAGACTTTAGGAGAAAGAAAAGCTGCTACAATAGTTGAGGTGGCTGTTCTCAGTGCATGGTATGACCTAGATCCAAATTTCTGTCCACCACAGTGGAGGAGAAAAATCAGTTTCTTCATAAATCATCTCTCTGTGTGTCTGGAACTCACACAAGTTAAGCTGCCTGCCAAACAGACTGAGATACCCCTGTGTATCCCAGAGTGAAACATTCTCCATGCCTGACAAATGGACACAGTGTGAATGACAGAACATAGTTCTGATGGCCTGCAAAGGAAATGTTTGTTGAGGTTCCTGGTTGTCTGGAAAACAGCCAGGGACAGCTTTGAATTATTCTGCTAGAAGCAGCCTCCCTTTTATCTTTCTTGCTTCCTGACAAGGAGAAATAAGATTTAAAGAGCTAATGGGCAAAATTTAGGTGGGAATCCCAATTCCCCCATCTCCATCATATAAGCAAGGCAGAGTCAGGGCTCCAAGAGCCTTTTGACTTAGAAGAATACAGGCAATGGAACCCAGAACCTGAACTACCCAGTCTATTCCTACATAGAGGCAAGAAATAAGCCATGTAATTTATTGTCTTCCTAGTGGTGCCTGGGATTTTTATGTATTAATCACAGTGCTCTGTATTACTGTGAGAGCCAATGCAAAAACTCAAGTTTTGCTCTAACTTTCTTAAGGATGACTCTTACTAAAAAGTAATTTGCATATTTACTTGCAGAATGCCAGAACATTCTGTCTGTGCTCCTACCTGTGCACACTGAGAGGCTTTCTCTTCCATTTCCTTCCAGGCTTTGAGCATCTTCTCTGAAGCTTAAGAGAAAAGAGTTGCTAATTTTTAACAGGATACAGACACAAAAATAAAGCAAGACCTGGACTTTACACATATCCATTGAATTTGAACACAAAGAGAATGATGCTGAATCTCCAAGCAAAGCTGCAACTCTGTGCTCACCTTAACTCACACACTAACCCTTTGGTGGGATTCCACTGCAATCACTGCCCTAAAACGAGTCTGAGTCTTTAAACTCCACCATTAAGCTCAACAACTGCCACTTTTGATTGAACACAGACTGTCCAAAACCAGTTCACTGAGTCTTTCCATTTTCCATCATCATCCTTCAGCCCAGTCATCATTTTTGGCTCAAGCTGCAGTTTTTAGCCATATAATCCAAACTATATGTAAATCTTGCTATTCCCCCCTGAACAGTATTTGTAAGATCCAGACATTTCTGGGACATTAAAACTGCAGCTGGTGCTTTTTCAGCCCATCTCCCATCCTGACAAATGGCACCTCTGGATATCAAGCACAGAGGCCCTTCCACTGTCAGCACAGGCAGCAGCTCTGCCCTCCACTTGCTGCCCAGGGACAACTCCAAAGAAATCAGACCCTGAGGGAATAAACAGCAAACATTCACATCACCTGCACTATTTATGCTCCCATGTTCCTGTTCTCAGTGGGGAACAGCTGACCACCTGCCTCACTGTACTGAAGGTCTCCAAAAATGGTCTGTTTTTTATCCTCCTGCCTTTGCTTCTGCCAAACCCTTCTCCTGCATCCACTTGAGCTAAAATACACCCATACTGCTGCCCACCATTGTCAGTCTGACCCTTTCCAGCATCAGAAAGTCTCCAGGCAAGCATTCCCCAATACCCACATATTCCATAAGCCATCTGGTCACTGTATCTCTCCAGGTCGAGGCGAATGCTCTGGTGAAAGAACTCCAGCTTTGCCTTCAGCTGCTGGGATGCTGAGACCATGTTGTTCTTCATTTTGATCAGGTTGGCGTTGTACCGAAGGAGGCTGAGCCTGACGGATGAAACAAGGACAGCACAGGTTAAGCTGGACTTAAAACAAGGAAACTCCAGTGCTGGGAGGGTGACTGAGCACTGGCACAACCTGCCCACAGAGGTTGTGGAGTCTGCATCCTTGGAGATACTTAAAAGCTGTCTGGATGTGGTCCTGGGCAACCAGCTCTAGGTGACCCTGCTTGAGCATGGACTGGGCTGGAGGACTTCCAGAAGTCAACCTCAGCCATTCTGTGAGTCTCTGAGTATATTCCAGTTTTTTTCTCAATGTCAGGCACTGCACAGTAAAACTCCTGGAGTGGAACCAGCTCCCAGCCCGAGAATGTTTTATAATGTAAAGGTACAGAACAGCAGAGGGCTGTAAAACTTTCGGGAACTCCCTGAGACACACATGTCCATGCCAGCAGAGTCTGTGCTGGCAGCACAGTGACTGCTGTGGCTGAGTGGGGACTCACATGGCAGCTCTCTGGCCCTGGAAGAGCCTGCTGTAGTCCTCCTTCAGGCCGATCACGTAGTGAACCGCTTCTGCCCACACCTTGCGCAGCTGAGGGATCGGCAGCTGGATCTTACTGTCCTGGACTGAGCACAGACAAACACAGGCAAACAACCACCCCAGGAAAGGACTCCAGTGCCTACAGCACCCCTCGTTCCTGCTGCAGGTGCCTGAGCTAAGGGGTCAAGCCAGGTAAGCTCTGCTCAGTTTTTAAGTGTGTATAAGCTTTTCGTGTCACAGCTCCTCAGGGGTGTGACAACCTGCTACTGGGCAGTAAAACACCAGGAGGGTTTTTGTCCCAAAAACTCTGAGCAAATTTAATCACTTCATTTAATCAATTGTCCTGACACCTTCCAGTCTTGTTTACATTTCCTCCCAGACTCCTGAGGTAGATGTTTAGGGGAAAAGATGCAGGACTTTGTGTGTTCCCCTAGAGAGATGGGAACTGTCAGTACATTGGGATATCAGGAAATATGTCATAAGATTCAGCACAATGCAATGAGATTCACCAGACTAAAACAACCCAAAACACAGGAAAAAAAAAACAATCATAATAAACCTGAGTGACAGTAAAAGGAGATGAGGAAAACCAGTGCAGACAGACCAGTGAAAATAAAACTACTTAACAGCCACTGCATGTCACAAGGCATTTCCTTACATGCAGGATCTCAGCAGACATCTCCTGTCCCCTGTCACTACCTTTTCTTTCATAGAGGTACACAAGGCCCTTCATACAGATATATTTGGGATATATAAACCTTCAGAGGGGTTTATTAGGTCCTGCAGATGACTGCTGTCATCTCAGCAGACATGCAAGGGAGGCAGCAAGCAAAGAAGCACCTTCCATATGTGGTCTAAAACACACCCTGGAGATGCCAGGGCTCTGTCATCAGGCCAAGGTGGATTCTTTCATTTCCCACAAGGAACAGCACTTGTGCAGCACACTCACCAATGTAGTTCACACAGTCAGACAGACTCCGAGAAGCAAAGGGGCCATCGTAGACAGTTTTGCTTTTATCAAACAAATAGACCATGTAGCTGTCCCAGCCTCTCTGGGGAGAACAAGAGAAGAAAAGATAAAACAGAGAAACCCCAAACAGCTCCTACTAACCCAGAGAGTCCTGGTTACATCATGAACTACTCATTGTGGGCACTCTCTTCTTATTAAGTGCCTTAAAAAACTGATTTTATTGATCCCACAGAAAGAAAGGACGCTTTGCTAACAATTACTTAAGTATTTAGGCAGAATCTAACTATAGAAATCTGCTTACATTACCCAGTAAAAGGCCTTAAGAGTTACTACACTTCCAGAGCAAATTACCTCCTGTGGGAGAAGGTTCAGGCAATGTATCTTCCCTAAGATTGTCAATTCCCTGAGAACAGGAAAGACATGAACTGAACAGAATGACTCTTACCACGCCATCAATAACACACTGGGAAGCAGGTTTCCGAGGGTCCAGGCAAATCCCTGTTTCCAACAGCAGTTCCTGATTTCCAGTGCTTATCCCAGTCTCAAACTCAATCCGATTCTGAAGGGAATGAAGGCTTTCCTCGGGATGCAAAAGAAAGGACACGATCTTGGCAGAGGTCATGTTTAGGATGTGCACTATCTGTAAGAACAGTACAAGGAGGTTACAAGTCCCTGGATATCAGAGCCAAAGGAAGCCTGGGAAGTTTTGGGAAGGAGCACATAGGAATGAACATGTCAGAACTAGAGCATCATTTGAGTTTCAGTGACTGCAATCATCAATTCAGGAGTAATAACAAACTCAAAGCCCAGGCCTGTAACTTCTAATGTCAGAGAAAATGACAATCAAATAGCCTTCAAAAGCCATCAAAAGAACAGGGACAAAACCACCCTCCTGCTTCTACACATGCTTGCCTCAGCTAGTCTTACTCCAGCAGAGCTCCAGTAATGACTCCAAGGGGAAAAGTCAGGTGAATGCCACCTCTGTTCTACTCCAGGTACTACTACTGTAGTACATCAGTACACCTGGAGTCACAGCACCAATAGGGAAGTTCAGGAAAACTGCTACTAGTAAATATTAAACCCTGATTTGATCTTGGTGAGCCTGTTGCAAGATGACAGACAGTAATAGAGGGTCATCCTTCTACTCCAAGTGTAAAACTAGAGATTAATACTGCAGGTGATATTTTGCCTTCCAGATGTACCAGACAGACTGTGTTTGCATTCGCTTCCTGAAAAACATTCCTCGTGACCCTGCAGCTGGATGAAGCCAGGATTACAGCTTTGCTGCACTGAGCACCCTTCCTGTCCTCTGGGATGATTTCAGAAGGCCTTTAAACCCAGTACCAACCCTCACTCACCTTCAAATTCAGGATGTGATCCATTATTAGGAAACACCTTGGACGACCGGTCTCGGGATCTGAACCTCCACCCCTCTGCTGTGGATCCCAATTCAGCATCAGTTGCAGCCAATTTTCCATGGGTTCTACAATCAAACTGAAGCAGAGGGGCTGTAAGGAAGGGAAGGCAGATATTCTCTTCACCAGACTGAGGCAGCTCAACTTCCTGGGCCTCTTCTTGAGTGCTCTATTCAACAGGCTCTGCCCATCTTTGTGGCCTGCCCTGCACTTGCAGCAGTTTTCCCAACACAGCCTCTGCTTCCATGGAGAAACTCCCTCGAGTTCTTGGTTCATGAGATTCAATACCATCAAGTTATCAGGTAGATGTTACTCACTGGCCTTGTGGTAAAGGGCAGAAAGCAGACACAGAGTTCTGAGCTGCCATCAACTCACAAACTGGGCACAGGAAAGCCCAAAACACCAAAAAAACAGCCACGTGGGCTATTCCTTAACAGCAAACAGCAGCTTGCCAGGAGCTTTCAACACTCCTGAGGAGGAAGATGGAGGAGCCCTCAGTGCTTGGGAGGAAGGAGGGAGAGCCCTCAGTTTACAGGACCACAGTGGTCACCTGTGCCAGGGACACACTCACCCACAGAGGCTGTGGGGCTGCGGCAGGTGGGTGCTGAACCGAACCTCCCCGTTCATCTCCTCCGAGGCAAAGATGTGCTTCGGGTCCTTCTTCTTGATTTTTTCATGCCTGCAAAACAAAATCCTCTGTGGACACGCTGGCAGTGTTACTTTTGTCAGGGGGCAGTTGAATATGACAGCAGCAAAAAGTGCCAGTGTCCAGCAGCTTTAGGAAACAAACTCAGAACAGAAACCTGAGTTTCCTGTTTTCTGCCTCTGACACACAGACTGGTTTATAACTGTATTTTTTTGATTGAAATTTTGCTTGTGAAGGAGTTACCATGACCAGAGGCTACCACACAACATACAAGCACCTCCCCAAGGGTAAGTGTCTTACCAGGTGAATGGCTGTAGATTATGTAAGAAAGGTCTAAATCCTGCAATGCATTCAAACACCATCGTCCCAAAGCTCCAGTAATCAACAGTAACCGAGTAGGATTTATTCTCAAAGAGTTCTGGAGCCTAAAAAGGATCATAAAAAGACACTTTGACCGTGGTATTTCCTTGCATTTCTGCAGAGGCAAAGCTGTGTCCAGGTGTGGCTCCAGCTCCAGCTGTCCAGTGGGTCAGGGCCTGGAGCAGCCAACCCATGAGATGGGAGGGAGCTGGACTTGTTGGGTCTGGCTGGGGGGTGAGAGCAGCCCCCAGTCGTGGCACAGGAAGGGATGGATGGGATCAGACTCCCCTTGGAAGCCACAGGTGATGCAACAAGGGGCAACAGCCCCAGACACCCATCTGGGAGGTTCACGATGCACATGAGGAAAGGACACCCTGGGGACAGCTCCCCAGGATCTCCATTTTTGGAGGTTTCAGGGCTTGGCTGGGCCAAGCTCTAGAGCTGGTGACACTGGAAAAAAAAAGTCTTACCAAATATTGTAATGTTCCAACAAACGAAGTGCATAAACTTCCTTGATCCAGATCCTTTGCATATCCCAGGTCTATTATTTTGTGGACAATCTGCAGACAGTTTTAACAGTTCATCAGAAGAGCAAATGCCAAGAAAAAAACAACCAAACAACCCAAAATCTGCACAGTGACAGCATACAATCCACAGCATACAATCAAGAAGAGGAAAGAATGGAAATTCTGGAGAAAGTCCGTGGCAGGGCTTCAACACGTGACAGTGTTAAAGCTGACAGTAAATTCACAGCTGAGTTTTCAGTCCAGTTCAGTGTGACAACTCCCAGAAATGACAAGGGAGACACCACTGACAGAGGCCACCTGACTTACCTTCCCACCTTCATCCTGAAGAACAATATTTTCAGGCTTTAAATCTCTGTGTATAATTCTGTTTTCATGCAAATACTGGATACCAGAACCTGAAAGACATGTTTGATTTAATTGAAAATAAACTCACATTGATTAAAGATACATCTGATAAAATACAATATTGGGGAGCAAGTCCCCAACCTTCAAAGATTTACCACCACTCACACATTTAACAGCTTCAAACTTGCATTTCTTCTCCACTACATTTTCACATCTTTGCAAAGACATAGCAAAGACATTCAGCTTATGATGAAACAATCCCTGTTCTGGGGGTGGAAGGGGAACAAAGATGAAGGAAGCAGAGCTGCTCTTTAGTTCAGGGACACAACTGGAAGCCCTCTGAGCACTGCAAGGACAGAAGTCCAGGCCAGTACTCCAAAATGCTTTCTCATGCCAAAACTAGCTCTGTTCCTACAAATTATCTGTAGAGAAATGAGAAAACAAGGAGCTCTCCTGGAAAGCCTAGCTCCTGGAGAAACTCTGGCATCACCCTCCATCAGGCAATCCCCCTCCTTCCCAGGGTGTCCAGGTGGCCAGGCCAGGCACTTCCCCATGGACAGGAGGGCCAGTTTCAAGTCTCACATCTTTGATTTTCTTATGGCATCAAGCAAGCTACAGCTCAACAGCTTGACAAATGAGGTATGTGATTAAACACCTCAAGAGTGTGTCACAGGAAGGTTTTCACTCCAGCCTTGGGGAATGGCTTTAAAGCAGGCACACAAAGGCATCAAATGCAATTGCTCCCTGTGAGCACTGCTGTCATCTGGAGCCCCTCTCACCCTGCCTGCTCCCTTTCCTAACTGCAGAATCCCAAATCCACGTGGTATCAGACATCCCTCACCCTGAACAAACAGAATTTCCCTCCTGCTAAGCCAACCCTGCACAGAGATGCCACAGGGCAACTCTGGCACTTCTCACATCAGTCAGTGCTTTTTGCCTTGTAAAATTGCATTCCTTCAAGTGAAAACTGGTTTGGCATCAGCAGAAGTGAGGTTTGAACAGAAAACCATGACCTTAACAAAACATTAATGTCATGGTCACCTACACCTGACCACAGCTTCTCCAGTCCCATTCCACAGGCACATCACTAGTGTGAGTTTCTGGTCTCTGTTAACTCCAGGGACACCAAATCCTTCCTCTGAAATAGAAACCTGATTTGTTTTAACGCCCTGTTCTTGGCAGTTCCCTTTTCACAGTCAGCTGAAAAAGCAAGATGCCATTACACATTAAAAACCCCAAAACAACCCCCGAAAAAAACCACAGGAAAGGCATTAGACTACACACCGATGTCGCTAAGCAGAGAAAGGATTTGACTTTCCTTAAGTCCACAGCAGTTTTCTGGTTTGTTTAGCAGCTGCAATAAAAAAAACAACATGTTTAGACCCACAGTGCAACAGAGAAGAACAACATTTTCCATCCCCCAATCAGTCTTAATGAACTGTCAATAAGCAGCTTCAGCAATTTCTGACTCTGACTGCACTTGAGGCTTTTAGAGATGACTGAGGTACCTCTGAGGTACCATGATGAGAAATTACTAGTGATGTGAAGCACAAATGGTGCCAAACAAGAGAAAGATTTAAAGAACACATCACAAATAAAAAAAAAAATTATTTTTTTTTCCTTTAATGAACAAAGCATTACAGGGATCCAATGAAATGAAGCCCATTACTTCCATTGTTCCAGCATCTGTGCAACACTGAAGGGCTCATTAGAAATTAAATGATCAGACACTGCAAGTAGAGCTAATTTCCTGAGTGTGTAGGTGAGGCAATTTCCAAGCAAATTGTGACAGGGATTTGCTGCTTTCCCCCTGTAGAAACTGCTGCTTCCTAAATCCAGCTGCACTGGAAAGGGAGCATAAACTCTATTGGGCCATGCACCCACTGCCTGGGGAACTGCTGAAAGGTTCCTTTGTTTTTGGATGTTGCCAATTTGCAGAATGGCAGTTCCCAGTCAGCAGGAGCAGGAAAGGCTTGGAAGCCCTGGAGGTCCCAGTCCTGGGCTAACAGGATCCTTCCCTGTGCTGAGAGCACCATAACAGTGGATACATGTGAATCCAAACCAGACCAGATTCCAAAGAGAGGGAGACACACTGCAGCAAAGCCAAACACGCTGGGTATGAGCACCCAGGGTATGGAAATGACCACTCCACCAGGATAAAAGAGTATCTGCCCCTTGGATTGCCCTCTGCTTTCTAAAACACAAGCCTCATTTCCCACGTGTGGCTTTTCTCCCCACCTCACATTTACTTCCTCACGCCTGTCCCTGGAGAGCAAAGGCTCTGGTGGCACACACAGTGTCACTGCCCCTGGTTTGGTGCCCCTTGGAAGCAGAGCAGCCGTTACCTTCCGGAGGTCACCCCCCGAGCAATATTCCATGGCCAGGAGGGGAACGTCGTTAACCAGAAAGTTCATCTCCTCGGGAACTTCACAGGCTTTTACTACGTTGGGATGGTTCAACCTAAGCACACGGAAAGCTGGGTGAGAACTCTGCCCCCTCCCTTGGAAGGGTGAGACAAGGCTGCAGTCCAACCATGGTTTATGTTCCTGGGACAGCCTCTGTTCCCCAGATGTGTTCTCTTTGACTAGTACCCACCGGTATCCAAGTGCATAAAATCCATACCTTGGGAATACACAAACCAGGGATGAGCACAAACAATGTCTCAAAGTCAAGGTACAGGACTTTGATGATGGGGATCCAGGCTTAAGTTCTGGATTCTTGCACATTCCTGGCAAAGTCATTACATATGTGTGCCTGCTTTTGCATGTGGGGCCAGATTCCCCCTGGGAAAGGGGGTTTTGTAGGAATCCGTGTCACTGCACCGGGTAGGTGAAATCCACTACAGAGGGAAGGATTAATTAATTTCTCCAACTGAATTCTAACAGCTATTTCCTGACTGTCTCTAATTTACGCTGCTCTTGGGAATAAACGACATATCCAGATGGGAATGAAGACAAATTACTTCTGTGTACACCCACAGGAGCAGCTGTAGCTGTGTGGCTCAGTGCTTGTTTTCAGCAAACACAACAGGTATCACCAAGCCCTGACTAACAAACTCAGGTTCCCTGCAAGTGGTTTCCCCCAGTGTCAGGGCACACAGGGAGCAGGTGAGGGTGACAAAGTGACAGCAGGAGCTCAGTAAAGCCCTAAACAGCAGGGGCACTGCAGGCCTTGGGGAGGGCAGCTCAGAGCATCCCTGCTCCCAGGAGTGGGACACAGCATTCCCTGCTCCAGGACCTCTCTCAAAAGTAAGGAGGAATTCACAGGGCAAAGGAACCATTCTGTGAGATCCCAACACTTCGATGAGGTCCAACTTGGCCAGCTGTGGTTCCCAGGTACCTCAGTGACACACTGGAGAGGGATATTGGGCAGCACAGAGGATGGAGCTTCTCACCAGAAAGTATAAGGAGAGTTTATTCTTTACATTCGGGAGCGTGACAGAATAAAAGCAATTCCAGGCCCTCCAGCTAAAACAAACGTACCGCAGGGTACGGGCACCTCTCCCCAGCCCATTCAGGGACTGACCACCAGCTGTACCAGCTGTCCCCTCTCCTGCTCTGTCCCGGGGCTCAACCCCGGCTGCTGTTCCCCATTCTCGGCCAGTTCAGCAGCTCAGTCCCCGGTTGTCCCCGCACCACGGTCCCAC